ATATATATATATGTGTGTGTGTGTGTGTATATGTGTGTGTGTGTATATATATACACATATAAAATGAGGGTATGACTATCCCAATTTTCCATTTGAGAAAACTGAGGCACAGAGAGAGGAACTAACTTGTCTTGGGTCCCCTAAGAAGTGGCAGTCAAGATACAAACTCAGACAGTCTAGCTCCAGCAACTGACCACTACTTACTGCTCCTGAGACAACGTGATCTTTTCTAGTTCCTTAAATTGTATCCTCTTATCAAATATGCCAGTTTATAGTCTCAAAATAAAGCAGTCACATGATGCCACATTTAATTTTAATGAATTTTTATGAAACTAAAGATTAACAAAACATTAATCTCACTTAAACATACCAAAAAAAAAAAAAGTATAAACCTTATCAAAGAAAAAAAAGCTACTGAAATAACTTTTGGCATAATTACTTCCCAACAACAGGAAATGTTTGCAGAATTAAGGCCCTGGACACCTTCTTGTTTAAATAATCAATACTCAAGAATTTAAGTAGCTAATCTGGGGTTGGGGAAACTAATTAAAGAATGTTTAATTTTGGAATTTATTATGGTGATGGACGTAAAGTAAGAAGTTAAAATCAACTGATGACTTACTTGACTGTGATTACCTATTTACTATGATCCAAACAGTGATGTCACCATGTGGGTCACAAAAGCAAATCAGGAAGTTTTGCAAAGTGAGAATTCTAACAGGCCCTCTTTCAGGGTGGCATTTGCTTTCTATCTATAAAAGGGTAGTGCAGGGTGGGGTGGAGGTGGTGGAAAGCCCTTCAAATTTCCATCCTGACATCCACTGGAATGCAGAGGTAGATCTGACCAGTTGGACAAGTCAGTCTCACCGTTTTCCTCATGTCAGTGCTATTAGACATCTAAAGTGCCTACCATTTGAACGTCTATCCCCCAATAACAAAACTGAAAGATGACCCAGCCTTTATAGTTTAGCAGAGACTAAAAAAAAAATTTTGGTGAAGTGCACTTTTGTGGATGAGAGGGGCTTCATTTCAGGCATCATTAGATTGGGTTGTAGAAAGTCAAAGCAGCCCACACTTGGCATTTAAAGGGCAGCTCTAGTAGCAGGTTTCAAGAAAACAAGCAACCACTGATATTTTAAATAGCAGCTCTCCAACCTGGATCTAATACCTTAAATGTGGCCCTTTTGATAGTGAAGTCAGCAAACAATGTCCCCCAGTCTGTGCAAGACTGATATTAAGAACCACACCTTCAATTTTCTGGGAGACCTTAGAGCCCCTCCTCCCACTTCCTTCCCAAAGAGGCAGGTGATGACAGACAAGGAGCCAGTGAAATTGCTTCAAAATATTTAATACGTGTTAGACACGTAAAGTTACATTTTTATACAAAAATCAATACATTGAAGGAGAAAATACTGTACAAAAACCTTAGCTCCCCCAACCTTTATACAACAAAGACTGGAGTCACCGTGTCTACAAAACCATAAGGTCTTTTCCACTTAGGGTTTCTGTCTGTAAACTTTGTTTCATTAAACACTTTTTAAAAGCACTGTGTAGTAGTTCTGACCTAGAGCTTTTAAAAATATATCTTTTCTCTATATAAACTCCCTATTTCCAAGATTGAACTCTTCTGTGAAGTTATCAAGCTTTCTACCCTGTGAGGAAGAGAAGGGTTGTCACTACTCCCCTTTCCCAGGGTAATCACAGGGCATGTTTTCCTCAGTGAGAGAGAAAGGTGGGGAGGGAGAGAAAGCCAGACTAAATCCCTCTAGTCTTGGGAAATCCTGGGAGGAAACGCCCCTCCAGGTCTCGGTGTGGCTCTCGCTTTCACCGGAGGGTGGTGTGTAAAGTCCCTTCCTCCCCGAGAATAAACGGGGAACTCCCCAGGCCTTTCCTCCACTTCCTCAGTGCTGTCGGCAGAGGAAAGTCCCCGCCTGCCCCCAATCTCTTAAACCCCGGGGAAGGTGTGATGCATTCAAGGGCAAAATAGTCTTAATTCAACAAGACAAACATACACACAGACATTAACACATATACAAAAGTGAACGATCCGTTGTCTTCCCCCAAACCCTCCATCTCCCAAGTCTCACGATGGGACTCCCGAGAGTCACGGCGCAGCAGGGCCAAGGCCAAGGGCAGCTTCTGCGGCCCGCCAGTCACCAGTCTCCCCGACGCGCACAGCGCGGCCAGTCTAGGGGCGTCCTCGCCGCCGGGAGAAGCCCTGCCCTCCCTTGGAGGACGCCCGCTGCTCAACCTCCTCCCCTCGCGGGGACTCCGGGGCTCAGAAGGCCACGATGGCAGTGCTCCACGGGTTCATGTCTCTCAGCACCGGCTTATCGCAGCAGATCTGCCCCGGCTCGGTGGTTTCCGGCCCGCTCTCCTCGCCCTCTTCCTCCTCCCGGCCGCCCCCGGGGCCTTTTTTCCGCAAGAGTCCTGAAAAGCTGGAACCGAAGATGCTAATAAGGTTCGCCACGTTACCAGTGTCCATCTCCTCCTCCTCGTCGTGGCCGTTCCCGCCAGCTTGTTCCTCCAAGTTCCTGCGGCGCTTCTTCTGCGGGGTCGCGCCGGGTCCTGGGCCGCCCGCCGGGCCAACCCCCGCCTCCGCAGCACCACGCTTCCTGGGACAGGTGGGGGGCGTAGCAGGGGCCTCGGCGGATTGTGGGGCGCAGCAGCAGACAGGGCGGGGGGACATGGCCCGGGCGCCCCGTGGGTCCTCCCCGACTGGGGAACAGCAGCAGTGGCGGCGCACAGCCGGAGATCCCGCGGGGGAAACGTCCGAGCCTCTGGCGGGACCCCCCGGGCCTCCGGCTTCTGCCTCTTGTGGTCGCTCCACGCGGCGCCAGGCTGCTTCTCTGCTCCGAAGTGTGTCCTCGGTCCCAGCCATGAGGGCGGCGGGCTCCGCGTCCTCCGATCGCTCGCTGGGGACAGCAGGGCGCTCCTGCTGCGGCTCTGGCCAGGCGCGGGCAGTCGGGGGCGGCTCGCCCCAGCCCGCAGGTGGTCCGCCCGCCGGCTCCCGGCATGGCTGGGGCGGCATCATCGGGCTTCCGGCGGGGCCGGCCAGGTAGAGGCCAGGGCACGGGTCACTCAGGTATACCTGGCGGGCGCTGCGCAGCACCAGCGACACCAGTAGGTTCTTGTGCAGTTTGATACCGCCGCGCTGGACCCGCGAGTTGTAGATCTTGCCCAGGGAGATGCTGACGATGCGGTGAGCTTCCAGCTTGAACTCCATCCTGCCTCCCCCTTTATGCAGGGTCGGTGCGCAGGTGAGAGTGGTGAGTCCCGGCAGCACGCTAGGAAGTTGGGAAGGGAAAGAAAGGCGTAAACAAGTCTGTTGGTATGCGTGCCCCCGAAATGGAAGACTCTGAAGACAAATTATTCCACTGACATTCACGCTGATCTCTTAGCCTCCTCCAAAATCAAGTAACCACTTTAAAGTCCGGTCGCTGACTGAGGACGGACCTGAAGCCTCGAGCCTTATATACACCCCTTGAACGACGGCCAATCATGAAGAGCCGCCAACCGTTCAGGGGCTGGCCAGCGCGCCCTCGTGCCCCGCTCCTGGCCAATCAGAGAGCAAGGAGGGGCGCCTGGGCTATTCGAACGTTAGTCCCGCGGAGCAGACTCTTAAAGGGGGCGAAGGCTAAAGCCGGGGCTCCGAGTGAGAAGCTCGGCGTGCCATCGGGAGGCAAGGGTCGAGGAGGAGCCATACCACCGCTGGTGTGGTTCAACCTGGAAGCTTCTTGTTTGTACATTGGCACTGGCTTGCCAGAACCAAAATGAAACACTTGAACTTTTATCTGAGCGTAATAGCGTACACTGCTCCTCGGTAAATTCCCGCTAGCTTCTGAATCAGCTTTCCCGGGCACACAGCTGTAAAGATCCCAGCCAATTCTGGCGAAAATGGAAATCTTTGGCCGAGGATAGTCTGGGAGACAGTCACTTCACAAACATTATTACTACACGATGTTTGGCAAACAGGCGCGCGCGCACACACACACAAACAGACACATTTTTTCTTTTCAATCCTTTACACGCTAAAAACATGGCATGTACACCATTCAGAAAACTCAATTCAGTGCTATCGATACTCATTACTCACTGCTGTCATATCGGTTCTGACTCATTCTGGTTTCCAAGGCTGTATGTAGATCACTATGTGAACGAATGCATGCGACCGAAGGAGATGCTGGGTCTTTGGGTAACCAGCACCTTGCAACTCTCCATCTACGCCATCAGACAGATTTTTAAGAGACTGTCCATCTTTCTCCCGCAGAGCCACAAATGGAGTTGAACTATCCGAGATGCGCCACCTTTTGGTTACTGAGCAATACGCCATCCTCTACACCACACACCGTTATTGCCTTCCAATGAGAATATGTTCCTAAGGAGTTCTTTTTATTATTATCATTATTATTCTAATTTACAAAATTCAAATACATTATTTTTTACACCAGTTCCTTCCCATTTTCCTAACTCCTCCATCCTATAGTGTGACCTTATGATTAATTCCCCTCCCATCCTCCTCCCTCTGCTTCCATGCCCACCCCCCTTGGATCCTCATGCTCATTCTACAATAATGGTTTTACACATTATTTGTCTTTGTGGGACTGAGTTCACTCATCATAATGTTCTCTAGTCCCTTCCAAGTTAAGCAATAATTTACGAAATTATTGCTCTTGCGTGGTGCATAGTATTCCATTGTGTGAATGTACCATAACTTCTCAATCCATTCAATTATGACTGGATATCTGGGCTGTTTCTATGTTCAGGAAATAAAAATCTATCAAATAGAAAATGACAACCTTTTTAACAAATGGTGTTGGCAAAACTGGACTTCCACCTACAGAGAGCTGAAACAAGATCCACATCTCACACCATACAAAAAAATGAACTTAAGATGGATCAGAGACCTGAGCGTAAAGCCAAAAACCATAAAGATCCTAAGAGAAAAACTGGGATCAAACTTAGAAGGCCTAGTCTACGGTATAAAGAGATTGCCAAATAAAGGCAGAAATGGACAATCTGAAGAGGATAAAATTGATAAATGGGACCTTCTAAAGATTAAATCCTTGTGACCATCAAAATCTTTTTCCAACAAGGTGAAAAGAAAACCTACTGACTGAGAACAAATATTTGGCAATACCAGCTCAGATAAAAATCTCATAATGAAAGTTTACACAATACTCCTGGGCCTCCGCAAAAAAAGACTGATACTCAATTATAAAATGGGCAAAAGACATGGAAAGGATTTTCCTAAGGAGTTCTGGAGGGGTGCAAACTATTCAGAGCTGTTTGCTCTGAATAAATAGCTTAGGTTTTAAAAATTGCTCTGAATCGTTTAATGAGTAGGAATGGATGGACTCAATGAATTTCTGCTTCTGATTTCTGCAAACTTGACACTTTTAAATAATGTTGGCAAAGAGTATTGATTTTAGCATGGACAAACAAAATTGTCTTGGAAGAAGTGCAATAAGCATGCTCCCTGGAGGCAAAGATGGGGAAACTTCGATTCACATATACTTTGGACCTGTCGTTGGATAAAGACATTATGCTTTGAAGAGTATAAGTAAAAGAAATGAAGACCCTTAAGGAGATAGATTTGCACAATGACTGGAGCAGTGGGCTTGAGCATGATGAGATAGTGAGAACAGTGCAGGATAGGGGAAGGTTTCAATCTTTCCTACATAGGGCCACTAGGAGCTGTAGTTGACTACACCATATCAAGAAAATCATATCCAAGAATAACATTATAGGTTTTCTGCCTATCAACATTTATCACATTAGTATCTAAATTTTAGAGCAAGTGTGGTTGTCACAAATCTTACAAATAGAAAATGATGTTACAGGTTTTTCTGTGATGATTTTTCTTCAATACAAACCCTAACCAGTCAGTCCACCTTTGGGAAAATCTAGCCAGTGCTAAAAACACAAATAGAGAAGTTCTATGTTCACACCATGAGGTCATAATCTCATTTAGCATCAAGGTGAAAGTGCAACTGACAAGGGTTCCAGAATCTTATGGTCATTTAACAAGTGATTTCATCTTTTTATTCTTGGGATATAGCATCAGGGCAAAATCACTGCAGTGATGTCTATCCATAGTCTTGAGCTGGGAATCTGGACCTGCTTGATGAAATCTGAGCAAATGGCCTCCGGAAGCTTTATTTTGTCCAATTATTTTTTTTTTATTTTGTCCAATTCTTAAAGTGAGAAATCCCATACAAATATCTGTCCCATTATGAGGAAGATAAATGACAATTCTCAATTGACTACAATCTGAATCTGAGAACTAAGCACAACTTTCTTGATCCATGCAGGATAATTAGCCTGATCCTGCACATTAATTTGACCATACATACAGTGGTTTTAGTTTGAAACAATAATAGTTGGTGAAAGGTGGCCTCAAGACTGGTTGTTGATTCACTATAAGAAGGCTTTTAAAGAAGTGAAGGCCCAGTAGCACTCCCTTTGTTAGCCCTTATGTATGTTAATTGTGAGGATACCATGACTTAGGAGGTCTACAGGCAGCTGCTACATGTTGTTGAGTAAGGGAATCATAGAACTGTTGATTCAGAAAGATAACTAAATGATGAAGCTTTTGTGGTGTTTAGGTAGGAACCTGAAGTAGAATTGGAGGAAGATTCATCCTGCACTATGCGGATGATATATTTTTGCTGAAAGTGAAGAGGACTTGAAGCACTTGCTGCAGAAGATCCAACAATAGATAGTCTTCAATATGGATTGTATCTCAACATCAAGGAAACAAAAAATTTCACCACTGGACTGATAGGCAACATCATGATAGGTGGAGAAAAGGTTGTTAATAATTCCATCTTGCTTGGATCCGCAATCAACATCCTTGGTATATATCGCATTGGGTAAGTCCACTGTTAGGGAACTCTCCAAAATACTGAAGAGCAATGATGTCAGTCTGAAGACTACGGTGTACCTGATTCAGGCTATGATCTTTCAATTACTTACTATGCATATGAATGCTAGACAATAAGAATGACAGAAGAAGAATATATGCCTTTGAGTTGTGGTTTTGGAGAAGAGCACAGAATACACTATGGATTGCAAACAAACAAACAAACAAACAAACAAACCCCAGAAAACAACACTGACATGTGTTGAAAAAGTACAGGCATAATACACCTTGGAAGGAAGTATTGAAAAACTTCATCTCACATATTTTGGATATGTTGCTAAAAGATGTTAATCCATGGGAAGGAATATCATACTTAGAACAATGGTGGTTGAACAAAATAAGAAGACCTGTAACGAGGTGGATTGACACAGTAACTGCAGCGATGGGCTCAAGGAAGTCAGAGAAGATGATGATGATGGCTGAGGATAGGGCATTTAGATCTGTCATACTCGACTCAACATCACCTAATAACAACAACATACCACTTCACAGGTCACCAAATGTCTGTTGACTTGAGAGTGAGTGCACAGTATGACTGTTATAATCAGGATTTCCTCTATTGCTTAGCCAACCATGACTTCTAAAACGGAACATTTAGAACTCCTCTCTGGAGGGCCTGGGCTTTTGTGATAAAAAAATTTTATATCTACCTACCCCAAACAGTCTCTCTGGAGACTAAGGTGTGTCTGATACAGACCATGGTTTTTGCAATCACTTGTTATGCATCAGAAAGTTGGACTAGGGAGGATAGAAGGAGAATTGATGCCTTTGAGCTGTGGTGCTGGAGAAGAGTATTGAGGGTACCATGGACTGCTAAGAAAACAAACAGATTCAGCCTGGAGAGGGTTAAACCAGGCAGCTCCTAGGAGGCAAGGATTCTGAGGCTCCTTGGAGAGGGACATCATGCTTGGAAGGGTGGAGGAACAGCACTGGAGGGGAAGGCCCTCTATGAGGTGGATTGACTCAGTGACTGGGGTAACTGGAATGGGTGTATCAGAGACAGTGCGCTTGGCACAGGACAGAGCAGAGTGTAGGGCTGTTGTACATAGGGTCACTATGAGTCACAAGCAACTCGACAGCACATAACAACAACAACAACAAGCCCAAACAGTGGGAAGATAAAGAGCATATTCTTTTTTTTAAAATTTTTTAAAAAATTTATTATTTGTTGTGTGTATACCGTCAAATACGATCTGACTGGTACAGGAGGAGATTGTTCCTCCTTCTCTAGCAGAGCATCTGGTGGATTTGAACCACGTACCTCTGGGATTGCAGTGCAGCTTCTTGCCACTAGGTCACCA